AGAGAGAGAGAGAGAGAGAGAGAGAGAGAGAGAGAAATAGAGAGATGGTTAGTAGTAATTAATGTCATATTGTCATTTCCGAGTAAGTATGCTAAATCGCCTGTTGACCTTTCACATTCCCTAGGGCCCAATCTACATCTTGTGGTGCAGACAGTTTGTACCATCACGGTTTACGAATGATTTGCTAGCAAAAGCAAGATATATCATCTTCTATTTGTCGGTGTTTGTATGCCTTCCTCTAACTATTTAGATCTTTTAGAAAGCGTGCTGTTTCGACCCAAACTACCAGGACCAACCAGGACTGAGATGACTACAACGTCCCAAGAGATACTCGACGATAAAAATTGTCTGCATCCGGGAAACAAACGCATGTCTTCTACGTCCAGTGGCGAAGTACCTAACCGCCACACCACAGACGCTGGTCTTGTGGAGTCGACAGGTTTTTTGGTGTGTTTTTTTTATTTACGTATTATTTTTTTTTGGGTAAAAGTTTTTACTTACTCGCAACTACACACTGTTATATGAGCGCTTGGGGTACTTGAGCATTCTCAGTTTGGTAGGAATTAATTTTCAATTTTGTCATGAAGGCGACCGAAGCCTACTCATTTCGATTTAAGGCCCAGCAAGGCGGGATCTTTACCGTGCACAACTTGCACACGGGACCTCCAAGATTCTTTTCGCCTTATCCGAGAAGGCTAGGTATTACATCTTACCCACCCTGAGTTTAGATGTGTGGCTAAAAGACAGCAGTAAGAAAGAGCAAAAGGAGTAGCTGCAGTAGAACGGCTGTAGAAAGAGTCAGGAGCCCAAAGGAGGGGTAATAGAGGGTGGGCAGAAAGTGGAATCGAAAGCAGACGACACATCATAGTCAAAGAGCAGGAAAGTGGGTGAAAGGAGAACATTTTCGAGAAGAAAATCTTCCGTCGCAGTCAGGTTTCGAACCCGGGATCTACTCAATGAAAGGCAAACACCGTACCTGTAGACCTAGAGAGCCTCCGTCGGCAGTGTGTACCGTCATTAAAAAACGGTTAGTTTCAATAAAGAAAGGAATATCGCCACAATAACGGTGATTTAGTGTACAGGGTAAGAAAAATTGACAAAAACAACAGAAGGAAAGAAAAGAAGCAGGGCCTACGAGTAGCGCCCTCCAACAACCATCCTAGAGCTATAAATTATTACCGACAGCTGATTTCTTTCAGCAGATGCAAACACATGAGTAAAATGGATATTATGAAAATTTAAAAAATAGTAAAAGCATGAGAAAAATCGCAATGCGTTGAATCGATTCAGGGGTTTATGTTGTAAACTGTGACGCATTGTGTCAGCCGCCGAGTTCGTGAGCTGTCGAGAGAGACCACTATGTTGCATCGTGGTGATATCAGACGCTGGTCAAAATGGTAAAGTCGAAGTGACCGATATTTTTTGGTTGGGGGGGGGGGGGGGGGGTGCACACATTCCATGTCCGTTTATGAACACATTTCTGTTCAGATTTTACTGATACGTATTGATGAAAGGCACAAAAGATGTAAATTTGCTTTTTCCCAAAACAGTCAAACTTTGGAAAGCACCAAACTATGACGATCATTTTCTCATTAAGATGGGGGCGGCAGCTGAAGGACATCTCGCTTATTACTAGATCAAATGTTACCAAATTTCACACATACAACACGCATAGTAAGGAGACTTAAAATCCGTAATCGCATTTGAGAAAAAACATTCGTTTCCATGGATATGGCGGTCATATTGGATTTTGTTGACATGTCTTACATAATTATTACCGAACTCATTTTTTTAATAGAAATAAATTGTTCGTTTTTTAGTATACTTCTTGGTAAACAATAGATCCACAAATCGGTGTGATGAATTTTTCTTAAACGTTCTAGAAAACTTTTAATGAATTTTTCCTGAGGTAGTATTCACGTTTGCAGAAAATCCGCGAAAATCCACAATCCAAACACCACCACCAAAAAACTATTCCATAAATCAAAATTCATCACACTGTTTTTAGTACTACATCTTTGCTTCATTCTACAAACATTTAATGAAGATTGGGTGAAAAATGGTGGAGTTATTTTTAAAAGTATAAAGAAAAACCATGTTTCGAGAAAACGGGCGATAAAAAAAAAAAAAAGATTCACTTTATGAGGAAATGGTGGAGACAAACATGCCCAGTATGGGAAGAAATAAGGCTTTATGGGGTTCTTATGCTATGAAATAGTTGTAAGAGAGGCTGAAGAAGATAAAACTGCCTACAACTTAAAATCCATATTTTTTTTTACTTTCGTGGTGTAATC